TTTTAAAATTTGTTTTTAGCAGTAATTTGACATTTATTATAAATTAATTTTCTATTCACTACAGACTCTCTATAGTAAGAATTATTCAGTGGACAAAAGTTCACAGTACTCATCATATCAAAACAAGTCATTAGATGATATAACAAATAATAAAATGTTAACAGGAAGGTAGTGAAGGTGAGAGACTCTACGTCATTATCAGGGAGAACCTCTGATCATAATGTTAAGAGATAATGACTGCAGAGTACTTACTCGTAATTTGGTACAGAGTAAATGCCTGGTGAATGTGACTCAGCATTATTATACAGCAAAGCACAAGGAACAGTAATCCTTTTCCCTGTGTAGTCTACGTAGTATGTGTGATCAGTGATAGCAACTCTGAACTAGATTCAATTTGGAGCAGAGTCGGGTATGTCCTTTTGTGATAATTTCCAGAACAAGTAACAAAGAGTAAAGGTGCAAGCAGCTTGCTTGATGTGATTAACCACGTGCTGTGGAAGAGGACTTGGCATCTCTCTCTCCCACTTGATATTCGGTGAAATAAATATGACCATAGTTGTCACATTCCTGACAAAGACATCTGCTAAGCTGGGCAACGCAAGCAAAACTGCGTCCTGCTGACAGCTTGCTTTGGAAGCGAATGTTGCCATTAAGGGAAAATAGAATTTCTGTATTTATCACATTACCTAACATGGTGTGCTGGCATGTTTCTTCTGTGGACCAAAGACATCCCACTACTTCAGTTCAGTGTTCAAAATTCTATATTTGCTTAAAGGATTATTATGAGAGCTTTCATTTTTTGGTCTATTAATATAAATTCATTTTGTCTACGTGGTATATTTTAAAATCCAGATCACAATGGCATCAGCTGATGAGTAAGTAAGTCTTCTTTTCCATTCTTTCTACTCCAGCTCTCCTTTTAGAGATTTCTCTCTCAACTCATACACTAATTTAAAAAACACAAAATAATAAGAAGGGTGGTTATTATTTATTTATTTATTTTGATTTTTTGAGACAGGGTTTCTCTGTGTAACAGCTCTGGCTGTCCTGGAACTCACTTTGTAGACCAGACTGGCCTCAAACTCACAGAGATCCACCTGCCCCTCCCTCCTGAATGCTGGGATTAAAGGTGTGTGTCATCACCACCCAGTTTTTTTATTATTTTTTAATTAAAAATTTATTATTTTATAATTCTGTGTGTTTGTGTGTATGAATACAGGTGAATGCAGAGGTCCGAGGCATGGATACCTTGGAGCTGGAACTATAGATGGCTGTGAGCCGCCTGTTGTGGTTGCCAGTAATTGAACTCTGATCCTCTGGAAGAGCAGTATGTGTTCTTAACTGCTGAGCTATCTCTCCATCCCTTTTTTATTTTTTAAATAATTTATTTATTTGCATTTTATGCACGTTGGTGTTTTGCCTGCATACATGACTGTGTGAGGGTGTCAGATCCCCTAGAACAGGAGTTACAGACAGTTGTGAGGGGCCATGTGGGTGTTGGGAATTGAACCCAGGTCCTCTGGAAGAGCAGCCAGTGCTCTTAACTGCTGAGCCATCTCTCCAGCCCCTTCAGCCGTATTTTAAATGTTTAGCAACATATTAAAATTTTAATGAAAAATCTCTGCTCATACCTATAATCCCAGTATTTGGAAGCTGGAGGCAGAAGGATCAGGAGTTCAAGGCCAGATTCTGTAACATACATAGTTTGTGGCCAGCCTGGGCTACATGAAGCCCTGCTTTTGTTGTTGTTCATTTTTTAACCTCTCTGCACTAAAGTAATATTCTAAAACTTACACACATGAAAATTTTACTGTCTATTCCTTTACTTGGTGCTGGATCATCAAGAAATAGCTGAAGCTATGTCAACCTGAAGGCAAAGTGAAAATGGTCCCTACCACTGAAGCCTGAAATTTTGAAGTGCTCACTAAGGCCTTGCTCTTGCCATAGAGTAAAAGTCTGTGCTGTTAGTGGCTTGTGCCCACTCAAAGTCTTTGTGACCATACCAGACTACATTCAGGGTAGCCAGAATGGAGAATTCCCAGCTCCTATGGTCCAGTGATGGGTAGCCCACAGGATCCTCAGCTAAGAGACTAAGGATCATGTGTACATACGTGTGTATGTGTCTCTGTGTGGCTATGTGCAAGTGCCCATGGAGGCCACAAGTGTCTAATTCTCCTGGAGGTGGAGTTACAGACAATTGTGAGACAGTATACATGGGTGCTGGGAACCAAATACGGTATTTTGCAAGATCACTACATGCTCCTAACAACTGCTGAGCTATCTCTCCTGTAGTTTTGTTTTCATGAGTAATTTCTGACTTTCCATTCTGTCCTACTTCTATATCTATCCTTGAAGTGTTCAATGAAGGAATAATGCCCTAAGGCACAAGACAGCTTTGCTTTCTTGTTTGTTTGTTTGTTTGTTTGTTTGCTTGTTTGTTTTTCGAGACAGGGTTTCTCTGTGTAGTTTTGGTGCCTCTCCTGGATCTCGCTCTGTAGACCAGGCTGGCCTCGAACTCACAGAGATCCACCTGGCTCTGCCTCCTGAGTGCTGGGATTAAAGGCATGTCCACCACTGCCTAGCCTTGGCTTTCTTACCTTTTATCAAAACAACATATAATCATACTCACTTTTCATTTTAAACAGTGTTTTATAGATCTGCCAAAGTTTTGTAGAACTCCTACCCATTCCTCAACCCCAGTGCTGGGGATGCAATCCAAGACTTGTGCATGTACTCTGACTAGGACCAACATCTCATCTATAACTGCTTTCTATTTATTTACTTACTTTTTTACTAAATGTGATAACCTTAAAGAACTTTTCTCAAGCATCTCACATAACTAGAGTTATGACAACATGACCATGCTTCACATGAACTATTTTAAATAGTGGAGCTAATGAAAGATAAATTCGCAAAAGCAGCACCAATTGGTTAAGGAGGAAATTATTTGCAATTTACACTGTTGCCAAATTGCCTTCCATAAAGATTGTGTTGATTTATGCCTTTGGAGAGGACCTGTTTCTTGACAGCCAGGACAATACAACATATTGTAAAAATCTTCAGACTTTGCCTGTTTAGTCAAGTAGCAGTTATGTGATTTTCAGGTCCTAATATCCTTTTTCTTAACTGAGTCAGAATGAATACGGTATAACTTATTACTGTTATAAGTACTTTTCTTTATATTTTAAACAGTTTTGTGTATGTGAAGGTTATTGATTTGCATGTATTAATTTGACAGTGTTTCAGTCCATTGTCTTAGAGATATTTGTCATAAACTTCCATGTTAAGGCTCACAACCATACTAAATCCTATTTTCAAATGCAATATGTGTTGCTATAGTGAAATAATATTTTTGTACACTGTGAAGATGTGTCTTTGCCAAGGCACCTTCTGATTGGTTTAATAATGAGCTGAATGGCCAATAGCTAGGTAGGAAAGGATAGGCAGGACTTCTAGGGAGAGAGAGGAAACTCAGAGGAAAAATCTGAGAGGCAGGGGATTCACCAGCCAGATTTGGAGAAAGTGGGACATACTGTACTAGGAGAGGTAACAAGCCATGTGGTAGAAGGTAGACTCATACAAATGGGTTAATTTAAGTTTGGAGAGATAATTGGGAACAAACCTAGGCTAAGGCCAAGCTTTCATAATTAATAAGAAGTCTCCATGTCATTACTTGGGAGCTGGTAGTCCAAAGAAAGTCCAACTGCATGTTACCAAGTTTGTTTTCATCTAGGCAAAATCTACCCCTAAGAAACTATTATCAGTTATTGTCCAAGCAAGGTTACATTTCCTGCTTTCAGTAGGAATTCTGTTCTGTGGTATGCATCCTCAGCCATCCTGGTCTCATCTTATTCACTTGAGATAGAAGCTACACCACTGTATCATCCTTTCAGTGGAAAGCAGAGGTCATCACCCAGGAATGGAAAAATAACCTAAACAGTGAGCCACAGACATGCTGCAGCCATATCCCCAGTGAAGTCACCATTAAAGTGTTACCACTTCATCCACCAAAGGGAAAGCAATACATTATAACTTCCCAAAGAAGGAAATGAACTTGAAGAATGAATTTGAAATACTTTGAAGAGAAGGATCACTCTCTTGTTTTTCTCATCTCCATAGAGAATATTCTTTTGTCTTTAGGAAGATTTTATCAGTGATCTCAAAAATAAGCTTTTAAATGTAGGCAATAACCAAATCATGGCTTCAAGAATAGAAGAAAATTACAGATTCCTTCTTTTTCCAATTTCCTTAATTTAATAGTCGAGTAATTTATTTTGGGCTTCCCATTGTAGAAGGCAATAGTACTCACTCTGAGGGTTTAAAACCACTAAAATACATTAGCTGGTTTTCTAGATGTAGCTATACTTAAGTGAAGGAGACAAACTCACAAAAAAAAAAACCCACAAATTCATGTTGTGAGTGTTTTTGTTTTCGTTCTTTTGAGACAGGGTTTCTCTGTATGTAGCCCTGGCTGTCCTGGAACTCATTCTGTAGACCAAGCTGATCTCAAACTCACAGAGATCTGCCTGTCACTGCCTCCTGAATGCTGGGATCAAAGGTGTACACCACCACTGCCTGGTACAAATTTATGTTTTAAGTGATATTAAAGACAAAAAAAAAGCCCCAGAGAGAACAGATGGCTTCACAGGGGTCAGGAGGAACAGAAATAAGTGGGAAGATCTAGGGATATAGAAAGTTATAGGTAAGATGATGTTTAAGGAAAAGTGAGGAGGATTGTGGGAGACTGGGGTGTCCAATGTTACATGATCCTGACTCATTTAATCTCTTTAGAATATGACCATCTTTTCCAAAGAACATGATCTTCCCTTATGTATCAACTTCCCATCACTGTGACGAAATACCTGAGAAAAATCAACTTAAAGGCTTGTTTGGGATCACGCTTTGGGAAGTTTCAGTCCATAATAGGCAGATACATTGCCCCTGGGCCTGTAGCAAAAGAGTACACCTTGGTGGGAGCACAGACAGAGGTAGTCGCTTACCTTTTGATTGCCAGGAAGTAAAAGCGGGACTGAGAAAAGGCTAGGATCCCAATATACCCATCAAAGGCATGCCTCCAATGACATAACTTCCTTTCCTAGGTGTGTTAGTTATTTAGCTGTTGCTGTGATAAAGTATCATGGCCAAGGCCAGGCAATTTATAGAATGAAGCGTTTATTTGGGCTACTATTTCCAGAGGGGTGGAGTCCATCCAGACAGGGAAACCTGGCATCAGACATGCATGACAGCGAGAGCAGGAAGTGGAAGCTCAGATCCTCCACTGCAAGCACAAAGCAGAGAGATAACTGGAAGGAGACAGAGGCTTTAAGCTTTCAAAGCCCACCCCAGTGACATACACCTTTCAGCAAGGCCACACCTCCTAAACCTCCCCAAAGAGCACACCAACTGTGGACTCTGTAGAACAGCAAAGTAGACTTCACTTCCTAAAAGTCTCACCACTCCCAATAGTGCCACAGGATGGGGTTCAGCCCTTAACACAGGGGCCTTTGAGGACATGCCATTCAAACCACACTACCAAGGTGCAGTAGCTCTGGTTTGATCTGGGCTAAGCCTTCTCCTCCAGGTTCCTTTCCTCCTCTCTAGCAGTCACCATTTCCGACTTGACTAGCTTTTCTTCATGATCAGGACTTGTGCGTTAGCACCTGCTTCTTAGGGTTCCTACAAGGGAGAGAGAAAAAAGAGGGGGAGACGGGTAAGGAGGGAGAGTCATTTTGTTTCCTCTAGTTATTCAGGTCTCATTTCAAACAAAGCTTTCCTTGAGCATCTTTTTAAACAGCCCCACCTCTTCTGTCTTCCTTAATACCTCACCCTTGAAGGTTTGGAGAACTTATTATTATTATTTTTTTTTTTTACTTGCTTCTTGACTGTCAAGTCTTGCTTGAATGGCATCACCCTATCAACCTTTCCCATTGCCAGATCTCTAGCAAGTACAACAGAACCTTATGTATAAGAAACAATATTTGTTGAATGAGTAAATTCATTCTTACTCTGAATAATTAGAGAAATATCCCTAGACTTCTGTTTGTAAAGGAATAGAAGCCAAAATCAAAATTGCTTTTTTGTTGTTTTCCACATGTCTCAGACTTTTTTTTTTATTATGAACTATATCACAGGTTTAAAAAAATCCCATTTGAATTTTGATGATAGACTTTGGACATTGGCTCCTTTTCATTGTCTTTAATATAGACTTGAAAACTGGACAATGTGATTGGTCTGTCTATACGCTGATGTACTATTGGTTGTCCACTGCTGAGCCATGCTGTTGTGTTTTCTTTCTCTAAAACACTAATTTCAGAGTTTAGAAGCTAAAATATCAGAGTAACCCCAAATTCATTGTCATATTTTTACTTGTCCTAAGATGAACTATGAGCAGTTATTGATATTGTAAAATGTTCTTGAAACATAAAATCCTTAGAGAGCTCAGTCCTGACTTTTTATAGACATTGGGAAAGTTTGTTGTTGTTGTTGTTGTTGCTGTTGTTGTTGTTGTTAGACATGCCTTCTTGATTAGCAGTGATTCTCTAGGACTGACCCTGCCATGCTGAGGGAGATAACAAAGGTTTGCAATGCCTAGCTAACTTAATGAATTTTCCTCTGGAAATTACTTCAGATCTTTATTTTTTTTCCAAATACAAATATCTTTTCAGAATTGAGTCTATGCCATACACCCTTGATGTCATGGTTTCATTTAAAAGTAATTTAAAAAAATCTTCCAAGATTTATAAGTTTGATCTTTAGGTTAAGATAAATATATATGCTGTTCTTCCTCTGACTAGGCCTTGCTTGCCAGCTAAGCAGCAAAACATATGTCTTGCATTAGAGGCTCTTATCAGGCTAGGAAGATGCACCCCCACTTCCTGCTCATACCATGCTTACGTGCTGGGGAGCTAAATTATAATCATAGCTGCTGTCTATTTTTAAAGTGCAGTTGCAATTTGAGATCCTGGCTGCCTTTTAAAACTGGGGCCACACTGCCACTTTCTCCCAAAGATGCTATTTGACAGTATTCCTGTGGCAAAATATGACACATCTTTATTTCAATTGTCTTTCTGGAAGTAAATAAACCTTGTTACCTTGCTGGGAAGTTTATTTGGTAAATGAGGTGTACAAGAAATTTCTCTGGAAGCTGAACAGAGGGAACCAATAGTCTACATGGTGCTCATTTTTAAATAGATATAGAAGGACACAGTTGGTCAGACGACTAATAAAATAGTGATAATCTGATTTTAGAATGAAAGATATATTATTTTTTAATCAAAGCAGATTTGACATGTATCCATTATCTATAGCATTTACTCAGGAAAAATAAACTTGCAAAGTGGACTTTGCTTATTAATTGCTGGTGGGAGTTAGTTTTAGTTGGGTTTTAGTTACATACTCACAGTGTCCTAGCTTGACTGCTTATGGAAATTAAATTAGCTAAGTAGTTCTGGCATGTGAAGCCATAATCTGTGAACCATTTCTACATATAAAATTCTGGGAATAAATAATATTTAGAGGGGTCTTCCTGCTGAGATCTCAATGTAGTCAAGAGTCAGGGCAAGCCAGAAGAGAGGAGATTGAAGTCAAACCTAGAAAAAAGATTTGGATTTGAGTTATTAATATTCCCATTTGACAGAAACTTTTATCACTTAGAATATAGAGGATCACTGACTGCTGAGAGGACAGGTCAGCAGGTCACGGAATGAGAGGACAGGCCAGCAGGCCACGGAATTAGAGGGTGGGCCAGCAGGCCACGGAATTAGAGGGTGAGCCAGCAGGCCACGGAATTAGAGGGCAGGCCAGCAGGCCACGGAATGAGAGGACAGGCCAGCAGGCCACGGAATTAGAGGACAGGCCAGCAGGCCACGGAATTAGAGGACAGGCCAGCAGGCCACGGAATTAGAGGGTGGGCCAGCAGGCCATGGAATGAGAGGACAGGCCAGCAGGCCACGGAATTAGAGGGTGGGCCAGCAGGCCACGGAATTAGAGGGTGGGCCAGCAGGCCACGGAATGAGAGGACAGGCCAGCAGGCCATGGAATGAGAGGACAGGCCAGCAGGCCACGGAATTAGAGGGCAGGCCAGCAGGCCACGGAATTAGAGGACAGGCCAGCAGGCCATGGAATGAGAGGACAGGACAGCAGGCCACGGAATTAGAGGGCAGGCCAGCAGGCCACAGAGTTAGAGGGCAGGCCAGCAGGCCCACGGAGTGACCCCTTGGAACCGATTGCTGGAGAAAAAAAAATGTCTGAATTTATTCTTCATATGTTACAACTCCAGCATTTCCCTTCAGAGCCTTGGTTTGGGCTTCCAGAAGTTGAAGCATTTGGGGTCAAGCATCTGTTGTTTCTGGATGGCTTTAAAATTCCACTGCAAGCTCAAAAATGCTCAAATTGCAAAGCATGTCCATCTGCAAAGTTTCTCCTCGGTGTCTGCCCTTCTCTCTCACGAATTTTCCAAGAACACTTCATTTGGGCCTTTGACTTCTGTTTCGTTTCTCTCCGTATAGCAGAAACAGAATGTATTTCTTCCACACAAATCCCAGTTTCAAAGACAAAATCTGGGGCATGGAATGCTTTTCTCTGCTGAGTTTATTCTTTATGTTCTTGGAATGCTCTGGAATGTATGTAAATACTTTTCAAAGTCAAGATTCTTTCTTTCTTTTTTTTTTTAAAAAAAAAAAAAACCTTCTTGGGCTTGCCAATGCTTGGCTCTTCCATACGAATTTCTGCTAGTACATTGCAAGTTCCCATAAGATTTTTTTGAAAAAGATAGCTGAAATCTGATAACCATTATGAAGGGCACGTGTGGCATAAATGAGCTTCTTTTTATGAGATCTCTTTGCATCGTGGCTTTTGCCATCCCAAGGGACTGCAAGCAGCAAATGCAGAATGCACTCCTCATTTTGAGAGAACAACCTGACAACGAAGTGCTGATGGCTGGAGCTTCTTACCTCTCTTCCACCAACCTACTGAACTCCACAACTGCATCCCTCTGACGTTTGTTAATCCGCTTAAAAGCAAAGTGCATAGACATTTATGAAAAGTAGTATTTTGGAGGGGAAGACCAGTCTATCACCAGAATAGCTGGAGTGTGAGGTCCTGTAGAAACCGTTGGAGTTGGGCTATTGATATAGTGGTTCCCACCTTTCAGGAAAATGACTCTTAGCATTGATTTCCCCCACAAAGTCACAAATATAGAGAAAAAACTTGAAATATGTTTTTTGTTTTTTTCTCTCAACCCAGTAATGATCATAAGTTAACACAATATGTGCTGTCCTAAAAACTATAGTTGATGAAGTAAATTATTTATAGAAAAATAAATGAACACTGCAAAAGGTCTTGACCTTCAGGGGCCTTTCCACACTAGCAGTTAACTCTTGGATCCTTTTATGGCCTGTGCTGCTCTGACAGCAGCAGACTCCCAACTTCCAGTCCTGTGGGTCATTAGCTCTAATCTTCCCTTGGCCCTTCTGACCCCTTTATCTCCAGAAGCACATACGAGTTTTAAATCTATCCCAGCCACTGACTTTCTGGACACCCCACCCCAACTTCTGGCTCTGCCATTCCACAGAAGAGATTGTGGTGTTTGGAAGGCTGCCCATCTCAGAGCATGCTCTGTGGCTTCCTCTTTTCCAAGTTCTTTTAAAAAACATTGCACATAGTTTAAGGGTCTATTCCTTTTTAGAAATCATTACAATTCCTTATCTGTCGGTCGGAGAGGGTAATTAATATAAGGCTGCACTCTGCCTTTTATCATTACATCTGTGAGCATTTATAATAGTCTGCTACTAGAGTCCACATTCCTTGACAGAGTCACTTCTTTTTATTTCCTGTAAGGATGCCACACTCAGAACTAGACCTGACATAAGGTCAACCTATACTGGAGAGCTGGCTCTGCCAGTGACTTGTACGACCACTGGGCTGCCGTTTGGTTCCGATAAGCCTTGGCTAAATGAGATAACGTATGTGAACCTGTGGAGCAGTGTGTTTATAGAGCCAAGAGTATTAGTGATTAGAAGTATGTACCTCTGTGCTGAATCAAGGAGAAAGTGTAACTGTGACCTGGATAGTGCTTGGAATGTGAAACATGCTTCTACAAAGACATCAAAGCAAATCTCGGATGCAAATTATTCACATCGACAGCACATGTATACAAACTAGTTGGCCAAATTCACAGTCATTTCAAAGTGGTTTTTAAGTTAATGATTGTCATTCATACATCCAAATGACAAAATGCAAGGACAGCCCCAGCCTAAACAGCCTTTAGTTTGGGATTGAGTCTAGCAGCTGGTAATGACCTCATAGTTGTCTGGTATCGTGACTGTCCATCATCCTGCTTATCTTTGCAGTGTGGGACTGGCAAGGCTCTCTGGCAATGGACGTTTACTGGTTCATGGAAGCCTTAGAGAGTATGTAGAAAACATACATAGATACATATTTTTGACACTGAAAGGAGAGGAGGGGGAGAAAGGGTGTGAGAGAGAGAGAGAGAGAGAGAGAGAGAGAGAGAGAGAGAGAGAGAGAGAGAGAGAGGAGAATGGGAGAGAAAGGGGAAGGGAAGGGAAGAGGGATGAAAGGGAAGGGTGTAAAGAAGGGAAAGAAAAAGGGAAGGACGGGGAGGGAAGAGTAGGGAGAAGAGAGGAAGAAATGAGAGCCAGAGAGAGACTTTAGGATACCTTATTCAGGATTCAAAGAGATTTGGTTTTGGGATGGGGGTGGGAGTAGAGCAAGGCAGGGTCTCTCCATCTATTTGTAGCCCAAGTTGGCCTGGGGTTTGCCATCATCATGGCTCAAGCTCCTGAGTGTTGGGGTTATAGGAGTACACCACCAAGCTTGGCCGAGCTTGATTTTGAATCTTCATATTCAAGCTATGTTATTCAAAGTAGGTCATTTACCTCTCTAGGTTTCTGTTTCCTTATTCATATAGAGATATTAAAAGAATACTTATGTAATAATATCTTTGTGAAGACCAAATCAAAATTATGGTAGGATTGGTTTACTAATTCACAGAAACCTCAGAGAATTTGAAGAAAATATACATAAATCAATATATTTGATACTGGAAAGTACCATAATTAAAAATAAGGAAGTTGTTCAGGATGTAGTTAATAATTCATTGCATTTGATCGATTCCTTTTGGATTATTTTCTTTAAAAAATGACATAGATATATTCAATGCACTATTTTAACTCTACTATATTTATTAAAATAATGTGTTCCCTGATGATTAACAAATTAAAAAAAGAGAGAAGAAGAAAAACAAGAATCCACCTTCAATCCTCAGTTGATAAGTTCCATTGCTTCAGATTTTGCTTGGGGGGACTCATATACCTGAATGAACATATAATTTTATATTTGCATCATGAATTAGGTCCTTTCCAGTTCTCTCATATACATCCCCCAAGTCATCATCAGTTCAGAAATAATTTGGTTCTTAGCAGCTGACAACTGCTGTATTCTAGTAAAGATTTCTGAATGAGGTACGTCCAAAGATTGCAATCAAACTGTGAGGATGGGACATCATGTTTGCTTTTAATCCATTCTCTGTGTTAGTTAGTTCTCTGTAACAGTGCCAAAATCCCAAGATGAACAATGTAAAGGACCAAAGATTTATTCTGGCTTGTTTCAGAGGTTTTGGTCCAGGGTCACTTGGGACTGTGTCTTGGGGTCTGTGATAGGGAAAACATCATGGTTGGGGGCATGCAAGGTAAGAAGTCTGCTCACCGCATGGCAGCATGGAAATCTAGAGGAAGGGGCTAGAGTCCAATAGTCCCTCCAAGGGTACAGCCCCAACCATCTAACTTCCTTCCCATACTCTTCACTTACTGAAGTTTCTACATCTTCCCAGTAGAGTTGACATGAAGGACAGCCATTGGAGCATTACATATTTAAATTATAGCACCCTCTACTACACTTTAAACTAGACAGCACCCCCAACACCTGCTCAACATTTTATTACTACAGATATTCATGTAATGTTCCAGTGCTCCTTCAGCCGTCTCTGTTCTCCTCCAATGTGCGCTCTGTTCTTCTCTGGTATGGATCAAGCTGAGCATGCAACAGCAGAAGCAGTTCCACCAGCCCATTTGTGTGACATGAGCCTCAACTAGTAAGGACATAAAAGGTGAAAACGGAAGTTCACAAACTGCCAGCGTACTAAACCGTCTGGGGCACAAGGTCATCAATCTCCCTCTAGTTGTAAGTAAAGTAGTTGTCTTCCTTCAGGACAGAATTCCAAAGAGAAGGAATATATATGTACCATACAAACATACCTGATTTTTCTGGAAGATAACTATCCATATCATACATACATGATAGTACATGCCTGTAATCCCAGCACTGGGGAGGCTGATACAGGAGGATTGTGAGTTGCAGGCTAGCTCTGCCTACATAATGAGTTAAAGACCAGCCTAGTATACATGGTGAGACTCAGTCTCAAAAATAAATCATCAGGGAACACATGAAAACATGAGGTTTGTATAGACTATGGCACAAATCTCAAGAGAAGCAAGGCCTGGGATCTTTTGTCCTGGTCCTGAGATAGCCCAGCCCATGTGAAGAAAGGACTAGCTAGCATAACATGGTATTTTATTTCACTATCGTAGACTGCTAGGAACTCTCTGGAGGCCCCAGCAGCTGCGTCTTGTCTTTAATATGAAGCCTGGGGTGGGGGTGGGGGGGCCGGGGAGACTCATAATTCAAAAGAGGCACAGCCCTGAGAAAGCCACTCTGCATATCTGAACCAGACATGGGTGGTGGGGAGGAGGGGTGCTCTTCTAGTCCTAAGTCAAGAATGCTTTCTGTCTTCCCTCTTCTCTTTATCGGCTGTCCTTGTGAAAAGATCATTTATGGATAGTAGATGAGGACAGCGGAGCCAGCTTCAATCTCCCTCTTTTCTTTCCCAGCTGTTGCTGCCGTGTAAAAAGACCCTTTGTTAAAGACTGAAACAGCAGACGCGGCTTGGATAATAGCTTAAATCATTGGGTGTGTGTGTGTGTGTGTGTGTGTGTGTGTGTGTGTGTGTTTCATCTTGAACTAGTGTAAGCACTATTTTTGTTTTGAAAGTTCTGCTGCTTATTCAAATATTTCTAAAAAAAGAAAACTTTGATAGACTTTTGTGGTAAAGAAGTGTGCTATATGATCTCTTGACGGCAACGCAGCCCATGGAAAGCACTGATGATGTTGACGGAGTGTAACAGGTACACTGTGTGCTGGGACTTGGTGCATACCTTTGTAATTCTCACAGAATCCTGTGAAGTGAGTATCATGGGCTTTCTTTAAAGCATGATGGGCTAAGTGAGTCAGGGGAGGTCTGTGACAAAGTAATAGAAAGCTGGAAATGGGCCAGTGGGTACAAAAGTACTACTTGTTTATTGAGTATATAGAGTTAGAGGAGGTCATATTCTGCATGGACAAAAATCCAGACTTGATATTTCAGACTTGTCCAGGCATGGTGGAACATGCCTATAATCCTAATACTCAGGAGAGTGAGACAGGAGAATTGTGAGCTTGAAGACAGCCGGGGCTAGAGAGAGAGAACCTAGAGGTTGTATTTGCTAAGGCCCTGCAAAATCCAGAGTTCATCTCCTCTGGAATATGCATTGCTGAGGCAAATAAAGAAGAAAGCGTAACTCCCCCCTCTCCCTGCTCTTCCTTCCTTGCTTTTTTCCTTCCTTCTTTCCCGTCTTCTTCCTGCCATCCTTCTTTTTTGTGTATGTTTGTTTACAGCTAGTTGGACTTGGGTTTGTATTTGTCAAAAGCACAGTTTTGATTAATTTAAGGCCAGGTGTATTCTGACCATGAGCTTTATTTGTGGTTCTTAAGTCATATATTAGTGGAAGAAAGCAGAGGGAGGAAAAATTACATTAGGATAGAACAAAATGACCTTTCCCCCGCTCTTCACAACTTTATTTACTCCCATGATTCCCAAGTCAATTCAGCTCTTTGAGGCATGAAGAACCATGGAGGAGGAATCTGCCTACAGGAAACAATGCATTTCAATAGCGATGAAGCATCATTTCTCATTGGCTACTGTCTTCTGCCTTCAGCGATTAATGGAATCAATTGGAAGCTAACGAGTTAGGCCTATCAGATTTGTGTTCCACTCTTCTCCTTGAGGACATGGGTCACTCTGGTTTTAGAGGACTTGAGCTGATGATACTGAAAGCTCCAACCTCTAGCTTAACCAATCTTTGCCTGGTGTGACTGTCCAGAAATTCAGTGGATCTATGGTCTCAGCACAATTTTATTAACTGAGAAGCTATAAAGCATCTCTGAAATAATGGCGTCCCTTTAGTAGGCACTTGTGATATGCTGACACTGTATACTTTAGCTTTATGTGTGCTATTATAATATAATCTTCACAGTAGTTATTTATCAGCCCTTCTTGTGGACGAATAAACTCAGCATTAGAGAGGTTACTAGCCACCCCTCACCCACCTAGGTCCATAATATTTAAACTTCCTCTTCTCCATTCTTAGTTCATTCATTGTCAAAGCGCTGAAGTAAAGAAGTCATCTTCTCCCCAGCTGATGGAATTTTAGGTTTAATAGACTTTTAGAATATGCAACAAAGCTATACATTTTATCCCCAACTCCCAAGTGTAACTTTCAAGGAAATCTCTGGCCCTTTGTTGTCTATACAAGCAGTGGTCCTTTAAAAGGCTAAGGTTTACCTGGTGGATTTGACCATCAGCTGAGCTCAACTGAAGCTGTGGCCTCCAGATGTCCCTTCTCTGTGTACCCGTGCACTGGAATGGGCTTACTATGGGACCTTGTATGTGTGAAATCTAGACAGCTAAAACAGCAAGTGAGCTGCACTCTCCTCACTCTTGGAAACTGATGCACGCTCTTGTGTTCCTGGAGCTCACTCATTCGTGCTGTTGCTACCCACCCTCTCCGCCCTATGGGTGGAACAGCAGCATCTCCAGCCTCTCTGCCTCCAGTAAGAGAGGCATCAGGCACTCTAATGGACTTCAGCATCTCCAGCAGTACCAGATGCTTGAAGCTGGAGGCTTGAGGCAGAACGTTAAAGCAGATTCCGGTCTCTCCCTCTGAGCTCCTTTGCTTTGGCTTTTTGCTCTCACTGCCATCTTTATTTCCCAAATGCCTTCTCTGATTTTTAAGTTCAGCACTAGACATAGAAGCAATCGGCTGTGACCAGCTCCCCAAGATGATGAGGAAGATCAAATTCTTATGTTAAATCCCATATTAAATTAATTATAAATTAAAATAAATTTGTTTTTAGCATTCTACTTCTTTCATTGAACCTTGAGGGGTTCCTTATACCTTTGGAAGGTGAACACTTTTTGTAGTTTTAAAGGGGTCATTTTCCAGATCATTAACTTTCTGTCTGCTTTTTCTAAAACTTACCTGCGAGCCTGCATTGGCTTTCACAATACCAGCTTTGTTCTCCAGGAGAAAGACACTGAGAGCTAGGAATGCCAACATTGTACTGGAGAATCATGTGCACAGGATGAGAGGTGGTGGGAATCAGACCGCAATGCACCCCACAAGTCTTCCTCAGGCCAGTGAAGAAGCTCCAGAGTCAAGCTCCTCTTAGAAGTCCCCATGTGGAAATGACCCAGTGCAGTCAGCCTTATTCCACTGTTGCCTGTGACCACACTGAGAAAGCAAAGGAATGCACAAACTGAGGGTGGGGACTTAGCAGTCCATCAGCATCATGAGAGAGACTTGTGTTTTTCACTCTTCCACTGTTTACCACCCCCTTTTGAAGGGGATCATTTGCAGGCAGAGGCAGGCGGATCTCTGTGAGTTCGAGGCCAGCCTGGTCTCCAAAGTGAGTTCCAGGAAAGGCGCAAAGCTACACAGAGAAACCCTGTCTTGAAAAAAAAAATGCACCTTCTAGATGAGAAGAAATGCAATAGCCAGGTGCAGTGTATAGCCTTGAGTGGAAGCCTGGATTATTAAAACTGGCCTTAAAGGGCATTTGCGTCCTTGTGAGACATCTTAATATAGACTAAATATTTTGTTAGGTGTGACTGTGTTATTTCAACTGTTAAGAAATTTCTTTCTGTTTTATAGGTGCATATAGATATAAAAAACAAAGAAACACTGGGTTAATGTCTTAGTTACCTTTCTATTGCTGTGAAGAGGCACCATGACCAAGGCAACTTATGAAAAAAAGCATTTAATTAGGAGCTCATGGTTCCAGAGGCTAGTAGAGTCCATGATCATCATGGCAGAGAGCACAGCAGCAGGCAGATAGGCATGACGCTGGAGCAATCGCTGAGAGCTTACATCTGATCCACAAGCAACAGGCAAAGAGAGACTGGGCCTAGCATGGGCCTTTGAAACTTCAAGTCCACCTGCAGTGATATACTTCCTCCAACAAGACCACACCTCCTAATCCCTCCCAAAAAGTTCCACCAACTAGCGACCAAGCATTTAAATATATGAGCCTATAGAGGCCATTCTCATGAAAACCACTACAGTTAGTGAAGACATATCTCTTTATTAATGATAAGTATGTCACACCCATATAGAGGTGGGGTGAGTGATGGCGTTTGTGGGAGGGGCTCTGGATGTGGCACACCTAGAAAGCAGGCACATGTTCATTCTCTTCAGGTGAACTGGAATGTTCTTAGGACAAGTACAAATGTTGAGAAACTTTGAATAGAGAAGGCTCAGAAAATGTTTACATGATTCCTATCAGATTTAGAATGCTTTATTACCTGAGGATTAAAGACCTGTTTTTATCAAATAACATCATGAAATATTTGTTCTAGTTATGGTCAATCATCTTATTTTACCTTATGATGGAAATTTTCATATGTCAACTGAAAATATGTGGGGTTACATAACTTAAATTTCTTTGGGGGATTACATAAGCAAAACATTTGAGGATCTCTGGAATAGGATGATACATTTCAAGTGAAATAAGCCAATTCTTTGTGTGTTTTCCTAGTCTCTGTCCTTCTGGGGAGCCTAGAGCTATCTATAGGCTCCTAACACACCTGGAAGATCTCAGGCAAAATGACAACCATTAACTTGTGTCAGGAAGAACCAAGTTTATTTCAGCAACCTTTTTTTTTTCCTTTTCTCGGTGGTAGATTTCCACTGTCACACAGCACAGTAGCAGGACTCAAGGATCTTACGTAAAGATGCAGCTGCTTCCTGTGCCTTCTCTCTGGAGTTTATAAACCCATCCCTTGCTTCTGCAGCCTCCCACACCTCTGTTCTTCTTGCTGAAGGCTAAAGGAGAAATGCTTCCAAATGTAAAGCATTAGGCCTCATTTCTTTCCTTTTTCTTCCTTTCTTGATGTTTCCAGTCAGTGTCAGATTGAGAAGTCTGATGGGGTCGTGTATTTTTTTTTTTTTAGATATGATTAATTATAGGCATGCTGCTTTATGAAAACTGTCTAGATAATTTCACATAGCATACTTTTAACCAAAAGCCCTTCGCGTCTGGCATGATATATGTTCTTGCAGATTCCTGGTAAATCTGAGCTTTCCAAGGCACTTTGTTCTCTACTCTTCATGGTCTTAACTAGTTGGTATGTCCCCCTCTCAGGTCCTGCATATCATTCTTATTATTGATGACTCTGGCTGTCTAGTATTGGCCTAAGTGTGGAACATTCCAGAGAGAAATGCTTTTAAGTCAGAAGCAAAATTGAACAAGGGTCATTTGCTGCAGCCTTGGGAGATCATTAGAACCGACTGTCAGGGTTTTCTTGGGCTGTATCCCCCAAATCCCAGGCTTTTCTGTCTTAACCTAAGGCCTATATTTCCTGCAGTTTGCCAAGCAGATTCTTCTTGGTGGCCCATCGTGATGCCCAACTGTAGATTTTTAAGTGAAACTACTGTCCTTTTTGTTGTTGTTGTTGTTGTTGTTTTGTTTTTGTTTTTTTTCGAGACAGGGCTTCTCTGTGTAGCTTTGATGCTTTTCCTGGAACTTACTCTGTAGCCCAGGCTGGCCTCCAACTCACAGAGCTCCACCTGGCTCTGCCTCCCGAGTGCTGGGATCAAAGGTATGTGCCACCTGGAGAGATGGCTCAGCCATCAAAGGCTAGACTCACAACCACTGTCCTTTTTAATGCACCCAGAAAAGGCTGTTTTATCAGGTAGTTTCCAGTGACACTGCCCTTCGCCACCAACTTAAGAGCCTTCTGTGATTCAGCATTGTACCTAAGGTAAAATGTAAACCCTCATCCTGATGTTCTAAGGGCTGACACTCTAGTAGACGTCCATTTAGCATTGTCCACCCAAGGACTCTACTTAATTTGCTCTTGGTCAAATGTTCCCACCTTCTGGAATGTTCTAGCTATTTTCTTCCATTTCTCCCTATATGAATTTAAATTTCTCTTTAAATTTACCTAGATTACCAGATTTCCATGATCTCTTTGGCATTTCTGCTCAACTGTCACTACATTAAAATTAATACTGCAACAAATCACCCCCACCCATCTTCCATGTGTCCTATCCCATTTCTGTTTTATTGGTTTTTCATATTATTATTATTATTTTATTTATTTATTATTTCATAGCATTTACCACTGCACATAATTTATTTATTTGTGTCTTGTCCATCTGCCTACCTTCCCACCATAAAGACAAGGATTTTTTTTCTTACAGTGCTGAGGAAAATTCAGGGCCTTGTACATGCTAGGCAATTTCTCTGCCAGTGAGCTGTATCCTCATCCCATGTGTAAGGAGTTTGCCAAGTTCTGTTAATAAGATAATGGTGCACCCTGTAGTTAGAATGGACTCTAGTATACAGCAGGCATACAGTAGGTGTTTAAGCATGGAGTAAATGAATGATTGAGTTCTAAGAAATATTTAAGGACACTTGAAATGTGTCAAGTACTCTCTTGAGCTTTGGAGAACAGGTTATGAATCAAATTCACAATATCTTAGGAGCTGAAGTAGATCAGGGTGAGAAACATTGTCAAGCTGTGAGCTGGGTTCATTCACCATAGCTGGGATCCACTTAAGACTCACAGTTACACCTAAAGGTTCTATTATTTCTAATTTTGCAGATAAACACAGATCAAGACTAAGAAAACTTAAATATTCTCTCCCAAAAGTTTTATGCAACAGATGGTTAAAATCAGAGGGGATATAAATCTAGTTCATCTGATGTAGAAACCAGTATGCTTTGCAATATGCTGGGAACCAACTGCATTTGGCTTGACCCAAAGAAGGCTTTGTGGGGTGGATGATTTGAGTGATTTATGAGACGTTATCAACATAAAAAGATGGCAAGATAGCCGCCACCCTTTGTATAAACTTCCCAGCCCACACAGCCCACAGGGCCATAGGGTTCTCTCTCTCTCTCTCTCTCTCTCTCTCTCTCTCTCTCTCTCTCTCTCTCTCTCTCTCTCTCTGTCTCTCTCTGACATCTCATTCCCTTCTAGAATACAACAATTATTCAATAAATATTTATTAAATGTCTACTCTTGGCCAAGAAATACTTCATACTCTGGTGCTTTATAAGTGAATAAAACCAAGTCCTTGTTTCCATGGAGTTTTTACTCTATAAATATTTTGTGTGATATTGTGAGAAAACAATATTTTTGGAGTAGGGTGATGACCCCATCATATTCTAGTCAAGGACATAATGAAGATCTGTTGAGCATTCCACATCTTAGTAACTGCCCAGCTCACCAAAATCAAGTAAGATAAAAACATTGCACCATGAAGCACCAGGTACTGTAATTCAGTAACTCTAAGAACAAAATGATTTTAGGAAACAATTATTTCACATACCATTAAAATTGTAGTACATGCTATTAATTGTAAGAACTATGTCATCATTACATGCTATTAATTGTAAGAACTATGTCATCTCAGAGATGCCAAAATGTGCAAAAAATAATTATGCATCTTAGAATTGTGAAAATATGGTATAAGAAAGCTATTCTTATCTTTCCTGGTGGTGTCTAACATATGGTCTGTGCTCACAGAGGAACGGCTTTAGCAAGATACATTGAGGTAGATGACGTAAGTGAGAATCTATTTCTTAGAGAACTTTTAATGTTCTTTCCAGCTTTGGATTCCATCTTTCTTTTTTGTCCTGGCTAAGTAATTGTGCAGCCATTTTCTCTGTTGTAGAATTTGGGAGCTGCAGCTCAATTTTTCCTGCACACACATTCCCTGGCTGTGTGGTGAATGGAGCCAGTATGTTATCTCAGAGCACTATCTATGGTCTATTGTATGTGAAAGACCTGAACATACCTCCTGTTTAACAAGGCAGTGTGTCCAGAGAGCCTGGGTCTCCTCTTCAAGAAGCCACTCTCTGTTGATGGTGTGCTAAAACCTAACCTGGGGCTGCAGCACACATTTACCAGCTACTTGGGAAACTGAGTTGAGAGGCTTACATTTGACTTCAGCCTGGGCAACCCAGACAGACCTTCTCTCTCAGAAAGAGGAAAGCCGGTGCTTACACAGCATCCATTTGGTGAGCTGGGCAGTTACAGAGCTTTGGCATGACCGTCAGATCTCTCCCATGTCCTCAACTAGAACACAATGAGGTCATCACTCTACTCCAAAAATAATGTTTTCTCACAATACCATACAAAATATTTATAGAGTAAAATCTCCATGGAAACAAGGACATAATCCCATGAGCATTGCCCATCACGGACCAGATCTCTCGCCTTCCTTTCCCTTCCCTCTTTTTGTTCCCCTCCCCAACCCACAGATCTGCAACTGTGATTTCTTACATCAGCTTCATCCTTTTTGTCTGACCTTCACTGTTCCTTTCTCCTAAATAGTAGATTGCTCCCCTGACCCCGCCTCAGCATTTCATTCTAAGGAGTTTTTAAACATCCAGAGAAGACAAAAACTTTAACAGCCTTATACCTGCAATCTGCATTCCACAAGTGACTTTTACTTTCTGTCCATTTGGCCTACATCTATGCACATAGCCACACCTTGATTCAGTCAGCACTCCATCTTATTTTTTGCATATATTTCAAAGGAAACGTTGAACATGTATCCTCTGTACCCCTAAAGATTTTAGTACAGATATCATCAACTAGAGTTTGGTATTTGGTCAGACACATTATTTTACTGAGTTTTTAAATTTACCAAAGCACATGCACCATTACTGTATGATTTCATTGGCATTGGACAAATGGAAGCTTCTATACAACACAAATACTTAGCAAAATAGACCATATTGCTATTGTTGCAGAAAGTCAGTTCTCTTGTATCCATTCCCTTGTCCCAACAACTTCAGGGGAAACTTCTATTCATTCTTTCCCATCATGGATTAGTTTTGTCTTTTTAGCATTTCATATTGATGCAGTCATACACTATTCTTCTTACTGTGTCTTCTTTCACCCAACATCATGTTTAAAAGATTGGTCCATATTACTACGTCTATCAGCTTTTGTTTCTTCATGATGCTGAGTAGGGGCCCACTGTGTGACTACTGCTCAGTTTTTGTCGGCTAAAGTTGCTGTGAACTCTTCTGCACAAGTCTCTAGAAATTCTTCCATAACCCTTGGCTATGTATTTAGGATAGAATTGTTGGGTCATATAGTAAATATTTGCTCAGTTTCAAACAAACTTTCAGACCTTTCCTCAAAAGCTGTTGTACCACCAATAGCATAGAGACATCAGAATACATGTACTTTCCACTTTTGTTGAAGTCAGAATAATTCATGTTCTTTCCACTTCTGTTGTTGTCAAGATTGGTTTTGTTTTTTAGAAGACCTACTTTAGCCATTTGTAAAACACTATGGCTTTAATTTGCTTTTCCCTAATGACTAATGATGGTAAGGATCTGTATTTTTAATTGTGTGTGTGTGTGTGTGTGTGTGTGTGTGTGTGTGTGTGTGTGTGTGTGTGTTATGTATGTGTTACAAGTCCTAGTTTGGTTTCTATTGCTGTGATAAAACATTGACCAAAGCCAACTTGGGGATGAATGGGTTTGTTTGGCTTACAGGTACAATCCATTATCAAGGGAAATCAAATGCAAGAACTCAAGGAATGAACCTGGAGGGAAGAACAGAAACAGAGACCATGGAGGAGTGTTGCTTACTGGCTTGCTCAGATAGCTTTGTTATTAGAGCTCAGGCCTGGAGTATGGCATTGCCAATGATGGACTGGGCCCTCTCACTTCATTCATTAATCAAGAATATGCCTCATAGATATGTACACAGGCCAATTTGATGGAGGCAGCTCCTCAATTGAGATTCCCTCTTCCCAGGTAATTGTAGTTTGTGTCAAGTTGTCACAGTATATATGTGGGCTTCCTTGTGTGTAGGCCAGAGGTTGATGTCAGCTATCTTCCTCTATTGCTTCCCTTATCATTTGAGACAAGGTCTCTCAATGAACCTGATCTCATCACGTGATTACACTGGTGGCCAGTGAGCTGGGGAATCCGCACGTCTCTAACTTTCCCAGTGCCAGCTCCACATCCCTTGAGTGTCTTTTAAGCCTAATTTCTTCTTAAATTGTGGGTCATGACCCCATATGAAGTTATGCATTTGAACATGGGGGCAAAAAAAAAATTGGCAACAGTAAAAGATCTCCGAACACTTAACAATCAAAAATTAATTCAAAATCAAACATGTCATGCATTAGAGGTGTTTCTGGCAGTGCCCACCTGTGTTGTATTACAGGAATTTTATTCAGCCTTGCTTCAGGATGCATAACCTGAACACTTTACATCATGCATGCTGCCACATAACACAATGCCAGTGAATACTCCCTGACACACCTTAGCACACATTCAAACTGTCTTGTTAGGAATCGCAGTGTTTTTACTGTATATATAAACTTTAATGCTCTTTGAGTAATACAAGTTTGTTTACCACAGACAAAAATTTTTAACATTTTCCTAACATCATTTCTCAGCATATAAGTATCAAATTCTTGTATCACTGGATCATACTGTATTAGGATGTTTGATTTTTAAAAAGTCATTTTCATTTCATGTTTGAGTATTTACCTGAATGTATGTATATATACTATATGAATGCTTGGTGCCTTTAGAGGCCAGAAGAGAGAATCTGATGCCCTGGAACTGGAGTTATAGGCAGGTGTGAGTTTCCAGGTGGGTGCTGGGAACTGAACCAGGATCTTTTGCAAGAGCAACAGGTGCTCCTAACTGCTGAGCCATCTCTCCAGCTCCAGAATGATTAATCTTTTAAATTGCAGTTTGAAGGCTGAGGAAAGGGCTCAGCTGGTAAAGCACTTTCCATGTAAGTGTGAAGACTAGAATTCAGCTCACCAGCACGAGGTGCACCTGGGGTCACACCTGTAATTCTCATACCTGGAGCCCAGGTGCAGGAGGTCCTACAGCAAGATGGCTGCTTGCACTAGTCATGTGGGTGAGTTCTGGGTTCACTGAGAGGCCTTGCCTCTAGTAGAAAGCCACTGAAGAAGACTCTCAATGTTGGCTTTGCTTCCACAAGCACATGTGCTCATGCACATGTGAACATGCACACACATTCACACAGCACACACAGAGACACATGCAAAAATGTTTTAAGTTCTTTTACGAGTTGCTATTTGAGTTAGTGTCTTGAATTAAATAAAGCAGAAAGAAACCAAAAATATTAAATGAATTTTGGCTCGTGATTAGGATGAGTTTTCCAACACTTTCTGAAATGGCCCTAAACATACTTCTGCCACTTTCCACTGTGTACTTATGCAAAGTAGCGTTCTCAGCATTGAAGACTGCAAAATGAATGTGTCAATCATCTCCAAAAAATGTTGAAGATTCTCTTCATACTGAAATATAAAATACTCAGCCAAGATTCAATTATTCATGCAAAAATAAAGGGGTACTCCATTTCATTTGTTTTCATCTGTAGTGATAAAATTATCTGTATAGCAAATGCTTTAAAACAATTTTTTGATTTATTATCAAAACATATCTTATTCGTACTCTTATTTTACATACCTTTATGCCTGAGATTATACAAAAATTTGTTAGGTGAGACGGGACAGTGAGGGGAAAAGCTGATGAAGTCTGGTTTTAAAGTATTTTGGACTATTTGTATAGCATCCATTGTGAAACCAATCCAGATTGACTTAAGTTGTTTTTTTAGACATAGATGCACTTTACTTACTCTATATACTAAGTCTTTGTGAAATACATGTTCTGAAAACCTTTTATTGAAGTTTAAGCTCTGCTTTTACACTGACATATGGACTGTATTTTAAGCTTTGACTTTATAGTGTGGCTCCCTGCCTCTCTAGTGGTGTCAGAACAGCTGCCATGCCTTGGGTTGCCCAGAACGATGATGATTTGGTGTTCTGGAGGTGTGGACAAGATAAAAAGAGGTATGTAAGAGTTGCCTTTTGTCTGGAGTGTCGGGGTGGGGCAGTTCTGGACTCTCTCAAAGCTAATCATTTTTGGCACTTTTAGGTGACATCTCTGCTTGAGAACCTGCTGTCGGGGCTGCTTCACTGTGCTGAGATCTAGAGACAGAAGAGCTCCAGTCCTTTTGGTGAACCTGACTTGCCTCCAAACAGGTGCACGTTGCAAGCAGGAGCCTTCCTTCCATTTCTTTCTAAACTGTTCCCCCAACTGCTGTGGGATGGTCTGTATGTCAAGTGTGTTGCTGATTGGTCAATAAATAAATCACTGATTGGCCCGTGGCCAGGCAGGAAGTATAGGCGGGACAAGGAGGAGAATAGAGCTGGGAAGTGGAAGGCTGAGAGAGAGACACTGCCAGCCGCCATGATGACAAGCTGCATGTGAAGTACCGGTAAGCCACGAGCCATGTGGCAAGGTATAGATTAATGGAAATGGATTAATTTAAGCTGTAAGAACAGTTAACAAGAAGCCTGCCACGGCCATACAGTTTGAAACCAATATAAGTGTCTGTGTTTACTTGATCGGGTTTGAGCGGCTTGGGACTGGCGGGTGAGAGAGATTTGTCCTGACTGTGGGCTAGGCAGGAAAACATTAGCAACAAATGGCGTCCAACGTGGTGGCAAGAGTTTCCACCTAAAAACTGAGAAAAGAGATTCTAAAACGGAGCTAAAAACAGCTTCCTAATTGTCTCTCTCAAATGAGCGGCAGCTGCCGGTTTGAGCTACTGGCGGGTTCCTAGCGTGCGTGCTGGACCTGCTGTATGGCGGGAATGAGGCCTCTGCAAGTGGCACATTAAACTGTGTGGTGGATTTAGCCTTTGCTAGTACAAAACACAAAAAAAGAGGTTTCTGGGCTACACGCTGCTTGGATAAAAGCATAGACCCACGATAGCTCCCAGAGCTGGTGGTAAAGTACCATGCCATGTTGGAAAGCTGCGGTGGGTGGAGCCAGCAGCCACAGCTGCTGCAGCTTAAAGCAATAGATTCACAATAAGACAGATTCAGATGTAATAGTTTAAAATGTGTGTAAAATATACGTAGGCTTGAAAGAGACAAAAAAGGTGATATATACAGTATAGAAACAAATACATGGTTTTAAAAAATAAAGTCTTTAAAGAGACAGTAAAATTAATATAAAAAATAAGCCACGTAGAGATGACTATTACACAGAGAGTCTGGATTGTGTTGTCTTTGGGATTCTTAACTACAGAGAGATATTTGATTGTAAAGGAAGCTGAGTTAAACCAGTATGTATATTTTAAAGATAATTTGACTTCAAAATTTGGATGTAAGGATATGTTGCTTTGGAAAAGAGTCTCTTTTGTTTCCACAGAAAGCCAGAGGCTATGGATTTGCTCAAGATTAAGACACATCAGGTTTGACCAGCCAAGACCCCCTGAAAGGTCTCCGATGACACCATGGCCCAGATGATCCAACATCCAAAACCATTTCAAGACAACTGGCTCAGATGATACAGCCTCACGGACTACTCCATGATCCTAAAATTTTCTTTGTTTCCCCAGAAGATACAGCGCCCCCCTCCAGCAGGAAGTAGTAAGAGAAGCTACGCCCAAATTCCCAAATATACCAAGCTGACTTCAAAGATGTGTAAAGGTTAAAACCTTCCTTTTTAAGAAAAGAAAAGGGGAAGTGCTGTGGGATGGTCTGTATGTCAAGTGTGTTGCTGATTGGTCAATAAATAAATCACTGATTGGCCCGTGGCCAGGCAGGAAGTATAGGCGGGACAAGGAGGAGAATAGAGCTGGGAAGTGGAAGGCTGAGAGAGAGACACTGCCAGCCGCCATGATGACAAGCTGCATGTGAAGTACCGGTAAGCCACGAGCCATGTGGCAAGGTATAGATTAATGGAAATGGATTAATTTAAGCTGTAAGAACAGTTAACAAGAAGCCTGCCACGGCCATACAGTTTGAAACCAATATAAGTGTCTGTGTTTACTTGATCGGGTTTGAGCGGCTTGGGACTGGCGGGTGAGAGAGATTTGTCCTGACTGTGGGCTAGGCAGGAAAACATTAGCAACACCCAACACTCCATTCAGCTCAGCAAAGAGAAAAGGCTATAGAATCAGACTTTGCAGGCATTATATTTATTTATGCATATGTACATGTATTTATATATATACACACATATAAATACAAAACAGGGTCTCTCTGTGTAGCTCTGGCTATCCTGGAACTCACTTTGTAGACCAGGCTGGCCATAACTCATGGAGATCCACCTTCTCTGCCTCCCAAGTGCTGGGATCAAAGGTGTGCACCACCATGCCCTGCTACATAATATTCTTTTGGTTACAGAAACAATATAAGCTCATTGTCAAAACTACGATGATACAAAAAGAAAAACAGGAAAACTACAATCTTACCATAATCTAGCACCTAGATGATAACATTTTTGCCTGTCTTGATTTCTAATCACTGCTCTCATTTTACCAGCTGGACATCACTTTGATTCTTTTCTCCTACCTGAGAAATCCTGAAAATACCTCCTCACAGACAAGCTGTAAGAAGGAAAGACAATGCATGATTTCTACAAATTGCTACTAAAGCAGTTGTCGAATAATAAATGTAAAATTAAAGTAAGTTCATTAAATGATGCCATTAAACAGTATGGAAAGTGAACGGGTGTTGAGGGGCAGGCTAAAGAATCTCAGCCGTGGTGGGTGGTGGTGGCTCATGCCTTTAATCCTAGAGGCAGGCAGATCTCTGTGAGTTCAAGGCCAGCCTGGTCTACAGAATAAGTTCCAGGACAGCCAGGGCTGTCACACAGAGAAACCCCGTCTCAACCTACCTACCCCAGCCCCCCCAAAAGAATCTCAGTCATCACCCCACACACAGTTTAAGCTCTGCTATTTCTTTTATTAGAACCTTGCCAAATTTGGGTGGTGGTACCAGGAACTGAACTCAGGGACCTGCCCATGCCAGCACTCTACCAATGAGCTACACCCTCATCCTAAGCAAACCTAGAGGGACAGAAAGCAGATCAGGGTTAAGGGTGCACATGATGTGTGGTTCCAAAGGAGTACGAAGAAATGTTGAAATAATCAGATGCCTCTATATTCCAGCTCTGATGATAAGAACATAGTTATGTGTGCTGATCAAAACTCAGAGAACTGTATACCGCAAGGGCACATTTTACTATAGATAAACCATACTTCAATAAACCTCACTTTCAACGGTGCCCTTTCCAGAGCTCTGATCCTCACTGATTTAGCATCGGCCCTTTCAGTCCTCTCGGTTTCATCGCTCCATCTTATCTCTGTTAGATTCCCGGGGCATTTCACCTTTCTGATGCTATTTTGAGTGCTTCTTTAGTTCTCCTGTAAATTGTTAGACTGGATTCTTTGTTCCCAGTTTCTCTACTTTGCTGCATATTTTATTTCCCATTTGAATCGACACTCTGTTGAGCCAGGCTCAGCTGTGTCTAACAAACAGAATCTCCGGCTGTTTGGCTTGCTCTTCTGGTGCCAGCAGAGGTCTTCTCAAGGCAGCTAATTATAGTGAGTGAGATAAGAGAAAAGCCGACCCAGGGCCCTGTGTCCGGGGTTAAACAGAAGTGCTTTAAGATCTAGGTTGTTTCTGCTTTGTCAGCAAGGAACTTGGAACAATTTTTACGCTCAAAAATAAACATAACACAAGCCTCCAGTCGGACTTATTATAGCTGTGTTTGGTAGCTCCTTCTAAAGTGGGTTCAGCTAGTTGAGAATGTATGCTGGTCATAGATCCTGAATTTTCTAGGGCAGTCTGGATTTCAAAAATTCCATTCTCTAAAAGCCTCATATAATATAGTTAAAATAGCCAGGTGATGGTGGCACACCTCTTTAATCCCAGCACTCAGGAGGCAGAAGTAGGTAGATCTCTGTGAGTTAGAGGCCAGCCTGGTCTACAGTGTGAGATTCCGGACAGCCAGGGCTACACAGAGAAACCGTCTTGAAAAACCAAATATGCGTGCATGCATGTGTGTGTGTGTGTGTGTGTGTGTGTGTGTGTGTTTATATGTATGCATATACACATATATTAGTTAAATGTATTCACTTATTGTTTACTTATTTTTCCATTCTGCAGTTATTTACTGGCTATCCACTATGGTGTGTGAGCAGGCTCCCTAGTGGGCTGTGGAAAATTTGAGAAAGTTGCACCTGAGACCTTAATGTCATTTAGACTAGAGGATGGACAGGCTAACGAGTGCATTCAGTTGCTTTACATGGGTAAAGTCCCAAACATTAGTAACTTGTATGTCCCATAATAGACGGAGAAAAGGTTTAAAATGTTATGTCTGTGTGTGTTTATTTTAATACCACAGGTAATACAAATTTTTCTAACACTAATGTTAGGCAGATATCATTAGATAGCTATCTATAAAAATATGTAGTACTGACATACACCCATTATGTGTTAGAAATAGTCCCATGACTGGCACAATACTACAATGATCGCTGATAACAGCTGGCATATGAGCTCGGCCAAATGCCAGGTGACTTGCCCACTCCCTTGCTATTGCTCTGGGGACTCACCAGAGTGGGCTTTGTTCTACCCACTTTAGAGCCTGGAAGGAAAGTGGATTCTAGAAGAGATAGGTGAAGAGAAGTAGAGGCAGAGCTGGTCATCACCAAGCAGTGACCTCTTCTTCAGGCCACACAGCTCTGCATTGTTGACCTGTTTTTAACTGTATCAGGTGTGCATTTCTGTAACTCCCTGAAGCCCCAGGAGAGCAAAGTGAGAAAGGCAGAAGCGATTAGGATGCAGAGCGACCATTGTAATCCAACAGTTTTGCTGCAGCCAGAGCAATCTGTTTCGATGTCCATGGGCCATGTCTCTCACTACTTAGGACCATTCTGGAGTTCCCATCTACTTTAGACACACTAGCCCCTTCCTCATGAGTTGCCCTCTTTGTGGATTTCCTCACTCTGGAGTTATCCAGCCATACAGGAGTCTTCTTATTCTTTTCTCTTTCTTATTGCACACTCTTACACTGGAACTTTTATCAGAGCAGTTAGTTTTGCTTGGAAGTCTCTAAACAGACCTATTTTCTCCCCTATTCCATTAACTGTATCTCTGACTCTCTATACACAGAAGCCCTTCAGAAAGTCTGTCCTTGTTGACCAGTCCCATTTACATATGTGTACATCTATACCCGCATTGTCTCTTCAAGGAAGCTATCCCTAGGCTGCAACCTACAGCTAGCTAGGTAGGATCTGATTCTGCGACACCGTCTCCTCCAGCAAGCATTTCTAGAAGGGCAGGCATTCTGCAGCTTTACTCACTATTTTCCTAGTCTTCAGTTATTCAGGCAAAGAATAGGCACTCAAAAATAATTATTGAGGGCTGGCAAAACTGGGAACACGGCCATGATGTAGAACCATTTAATCACTTCAAACTGTGGTGATAATGACACAGATATTCTCAGGCAGCTGAACAGTCTTTCAAAGGCCCTACAAAAAGCAGCACTAACAAGTTCAGCCATGGCTCAGTGATAGAACACCTGCTTATCAGGCACAAGTCTAGAGGTTCCATCCCTAGCACTGAAAAACTGAACTCTTGAGAAAAACAAACGCTTTAGATCTGTCATTTCTAACATCCTCACAAGCTCAGGGTAACCCGTTCTACTTCCTCCAGGACTCTAAGCTTCTTCTCCCCTCTAGTTCTATGCTTGTCTGATGTTGAGTCTTTTCCTGCGGGTCCTGGGAAGGCAGGGTTTGCATTTCCTTTCTTCACCACGTGAGCTGAGCACAGTGCCCACAAAGAATGCCTTCCATACATTTTAGTTGACAAACAAGTGTGAGATCTACAAAGTAAGAGGGTAAAAACTATCAAAAGTAGCTCATTATCTACAGAGTCAATTCTATATAATTTAACAAACCATCCAATAGTGTTGTTGACAAGTCTTTGATGAACAAGTTGTTATTGCTGTGAACAGTACCTAAGGAAACACTCTTGCTTACCTAGATCCCCTTCCTGTAACACAGTTCTCTGGCCCCTAGGGTAGACTACTTCAGTTCTAGGCAAGGGCTGACTTTCTGCAAGATCAAGTTACCAGAACCCTCTCTGACAGGATCTCTTCCAATGTCAATACAGGAGTCTTTTTTAACGAGTTCACAGGTCCAAATATTTCTGTAAGACAGGCACAATGAAGAGATTTTAAGAGATATGTCATAACTTAAGGCCACTACTATCTCTTGGGTTTCTTTCTGTCTCCTGGTTGGGACCATTAGATTAGCCTCGAATTTCTTGGGGCTCTGATGAAGGGGAAGTTGAGCTGGGTGACACATTCAGTTTGGCTCAGTGCTTTGAACATATGTCTGTGTATCAAGTCATTGTTTGTAGTTCTGATATCAGAACAGCTCCCTGAGACTACCTCTGTTGCTCACATGAGAGATCATTTGAGTCATGACCCCAAGATGGTGGCCGATACAAAGGATACCTTTGTATCATATACTTTGGAGCTATTGGTAAGGGATTGTGAGTCCTGGCTTCTCTGTCACCTGTATTTTTCATGGAAATGACTTTTGGCCAATCCCTCACCCCCACTACTCCCAGGTCTAGCTAGTGGAGACATCAGCTTCTGGTTACTTATGCTAGCATCCTTCCAGCTACCCTCTGCAGTACTGGCTTGTACTGCATAACAATGTTTCAGTCAACACTGGACCAACAACTGTATATACAACTGTAATCCAACAAGCTTGTAACATAACTGAAAAATTCCAGCTGCTTAGTGGTATTTAGCTGTTGTGATTTTTATGTAGTACAGTATATTACTTCGGAATTTATGATAGTTCCAGTGTAGACAAACCCATTGTGTTTCCTGTTGTACAAAAGCAAGCACATGCAATTATGTATACCACATAGTAGTGTGTGTGTGTGTGTGTGTGTGTGTGTGTGTGTGTGTGTGTGTGTACCTGCACATGCACCAGTATGTAGAGGCCACAAAACCACCTCAGGTGTCATTCCTCTGATGATGTCTACCTTTTTATTTGAGACAGTCCTGGAGATCACATTGGCCTTGAGACCATCAGTGAGGCCAGGCCAGCCAGCCAGTGAGCTAGAGGGATATGCCCATTCCATCTTCCCCGTGTTGGGATTAGGGGCACATTCCACTGCCCAATTTTACATAGATTTGGAGGGGGGTTGACTCAGGTGCTTGTGCTCTCAGAGCAAGGCCTCTACCAACTATCTCCAAATCCAGCTCACAGTACTTGGTAACAAAAATAAACAACCGTGTTATTGGTTTATGTATTTGTGATACTTTTTTCCTTATTCTAGAGTAGATCCTTTCTAGCTATAAATAAGAAGCTGGAGAGATGACTCAGCAGGAAAGAATATTTGTTGCTTTTGCAGAGGACCTAGGTTCGATTCCCAGCACCCACATGGCAGCTCACAACCATCTGTAACTCCAGTTCCAAGAGATCTGATGTGCATGCATATGCATACAGATACACATGAAGACAAAACACTCACACATAAAAAATTAAAATAAATAAATAAAATTAATGTGAACCATCCTTGGGCATATCTTTCAGGAGGAGCTGCAAAGGAAGCCACTATTGTCAGAGGAGATGACAGCTGTATCTGTCATTATCTCCAGAGACACTCCAGTGGGACAAGATGCAGAGGGAGAAGACAACTATTTACCCAATGCTGTGGGACTAGTGATACATGATCTTTGTTTGTTTGGGGTTTTGTTTTTGTTTGTTTGTTAATGCAAGGCCTCACTAGGTGGCTCGGGATGGCTAGAAGCTAATGATCCTTTTGTCTCTGCCTCCTGAGTACAGGCTCCCGAATTGTACAGAGTTTTTTTTTTTAAACAAATGTAGCTTAAAAAATAAAAATAAAAGCCTTAAAAAAATCATGTATACTGTACCTTTGAGGTGTGTAACAGGCCATCCTATCTGTAGGAGGAAATTTCTGTCACCCACCAACTCCCAAATAACAGACATGGAGACTCAATATTATTAACAATGCTCAGCCAAAAGCTCAGGCTTGTTACTAGCTAATTCTTACATTTTTAAATTAACCCATGTTTTTATCTACCCTCTGCTACATAGTTCATGGCTTGTGACCTCATTTTATACATGTTCTGCTTCCTCTGCATCTTCTGGTGTCTCCTTGAGTCTCCTCTGACTCCACCCTTCTTCTTCCCAGCATCCTTAGTTTGGTTGTCCTGCCTATGCTTCCTGCCTGGCTACTGGCCAGTCAGCATTTTATTAAACCAATTCAAGTGACAAATCTTTACAGTGTACCAAAGGGTTATCCCACAGTACCCATCTAGTTTTGTGCACACTTTGATGCTGATGCAATGAAGAAAACATCCTCAGGATTGCCTTTCTCAGATCATCCATGCTAATAAACAGTGCATAGGCTTCTCCAGTCCTGACTGAACTCTGCTGGGGTCCACAGGCTCCACTTGTGACATCAATATAATTTCCATGGCAGAGCCTCCTGGCATCTTCTATGCCAGCCTCTGTTTCGTTGCCCTTCTGATGTACCCTATAGAATATAGCTCTTCAAGCCAATTGGGTGAAAGGCTTCCTACTCCCTTACCAAGACTCTAAAGAACCTTCAAAACTTCTTGGACAGACAGACTTTTCCCAAGAGCAATGAGAGGAAGCCAGCGGGGTGGTGGGTGGGGGAAGAAGGTTAAGAATGGGGTGATTTTTTTTTAACTGTTGAATGAAATTCCATTGTGTATCTGTACCATGATCCTTATCTATTCATCTGTTGATAAACATCTAGAGTTAGATTTCCTTGCTCTTATGACTAGAGCACCAATAAATATGGAAGTGCAGTTATCTCTGTGGTAGGATGTGGGGCGTATGGCTATGTGCCCAGGAATGGTGTAGCTAGATCACATGGCAGTTCTATTTTTAAGTTTTGAGAAACCTCCATACTGATTTCCATAACAGTGTAAGGGGGTAGTGAGAAAGAAGACCAAGAGAGAATAAAAATAGGTACTGAGAAAGGACATGAGGGTGAGCAGTTAAAAGACCAATGTGGCATGAAGGAGGAAAAGAGACTGGGGAGCTTCTAAGGGGAACAGGCACTAAGGTACGGGCCTCACACTTGTCATTTCTCAGTGGACCATCGCAGCATTTTCTAGTCCCGATTCTATCCTTGTGCTCTATTGGCAGCAATTTCCTCCAGATTGAAACTTTCCTTCATGCAGGGAGGAGGGAGTCTTCATGTAAGACTCAGGCAGCTGGAGCAGAGGGGTTGGTTCAGTTAGTAAAGTGCTTGAGACCGGAGTTCAACTCCTAGAACCCATGTAAAAGGGATGAGTGTGGTGGGTGTGCTTGTAATACCAGCTTTGGGAACACAGACATGGAGGGTTCCCAGGGCTAACTAGCCAGCCAGCCTGGCCTATTTGGTGAATTTCAAGCCAGTGGAAGGCCTTGTCCCAAAGGTAGGGTAGATAGCTCCTGATGAATGCTACTGAAGCTTGTACTTTGTCCTTCACATTCATGTGCACACGCATGCACACCCACACCCACACCCACACCCACACCCACCCACACACACACACACACACACACACACACACATACACCTGCACATACAAAGTCTTAGGAAGTAAACAAAACTCACAGGGCTTGGCAAGCTTCTGAATATCACAGAACTTGTAAACTCCCTGCCCGGGGTTATATAAGCAGTAACAACTCCTATGGACAGGAGACTCTGACCTGCTGAGCTGGTGTAGTCCTTCAGGGAGCTGCAAGTAGGTGGCTTTCATGTGGTCTCACACATTCTGGGGTGGGCTTTTTGGGGATGAAGCGACCTTTGAGTCACCTCTGCTTCTCAAGTAGCCCCAGCAAATTCACTAAGCTAGACTTGGATGGAGTCATCCTTGCTCTTTCATCAGCGCCTTAACTGGAGTGACTGACATTTGTTCATGTCTCCAGGAGAAGTCACGCAGTATGTAAGTCTCTTCTCAACCCAGCAGCTAGGGAAGACCTATGAAATGCAAGTCAGGTCGTGCTCAAGTCAACCCCGATCCCGATTTGCAGTAGATTAGTTTTCTCCATCAAAAGTTGTGTGTATCAACTACTCTCAGGCTTCATTTCCCTTTATGCAGCCCCCACTTTCAGTTGGCTTCAGCCAGATTCACTATTCTTCACACACACACACATGCACGCATGCACACATGCACGCACACAGCTTGCTTCTACCTCAGGATCTTGGTGCAGACCGTTCCCTCTCCTGGAAGGCTGTCCTCCAGTGCCCACCTGCTGCTGACATGTCACAGAACTGTCTTCTCATTCAAGCCCTCATTAGGTACTTCATCTAAAATGGCAGCTCTCCTGAGCATACCGTGGTTTCTTTCCCTTCTAAAATCATGTGTTTGCTTATCCTTATTGTCTATCTTTTTCTATGAACATATAAGAAGTAGGGCAAGTGTTTTCTTTGCTCACTGCTGTGTGTTTTTCTTCAAGGGAAGTACTAGACATACAGCAGGAGTATATAAACTAGTTGCTCAGAAAACCACTATTGGGGGGCTGGAGAGATGGCTCAGTGGTTAAGATCACTTGTTGCTCTCCCAGAGGACTGGTGTTGAGTTCCCAGCATGCACGTGGAGGCTAACAACTACCTGTAACTCCATTACAAGAGATCTAACACCATCTTCTGGCCTTCATGGGCACCAGGCATGCATGTAGTACACACACACACACACACACACACACACACACACACACACACACACACACACATATATGCATATCTATATGCATATACATATATATATACATATAGTCAAACCACTTATACATATAAAATAAAAATACACCTAAAAATAAACAATACACCTAAAAACAACTAATGAAGTAGACACTTGTATTTTGCTTTTCATTGCTGTGCCTAAATACTCAACAAAAGAAACTTAAGGAATTAAATCTTTATTCTGGTACATAGATTAAGAATACAGCCAGCAGAGAAGCTAAGTCATAGCAACATGGTCTTGAGGCATCTGGTGGTGCTGCATCCACAGTCAGGAAGCAGACAGGGATGAATCCGGTGCTTGGCTTACTTTCTCTTTTTCACTCAGTCTGAGATCCCAGACCACAGGACAGTGCCACCCACATTCAGGGTAGGCCTTCCTCCTCGGTTGAACCTGTCTGGAA